TAAGCCTGCAGGTTAGTTACCAATGCTCTGGCCACATCCAGGTGGACAACCAGGTGAAACAGAGTAAAAATTAAGTCACTTTTCTAGCCACGCACATCATGTTTGTTTCTTACCTCCATGGAATGCTTCACAAAAGACTTGGTATAGAAGAAACGCTGAAATAGCACCTGTCCTGTAGCCATAGCAACCTAAGAAAGAAGCAGTCATAACATGTGTTAAGAAAGCCATTCCCAGGTCAAGAAAACAACACTTTGGGTGATTAGCAACACGTTTAACACCAAAATAAAGCTAATAAATGAGCTAGTTAAGCAGTATCTAAAGAAAAGGAGCATTGCTGTTGCAGTGGCAAATCAAATCACCTCAAATATTACCAATCTGAAGCCCCCAAACCTCCGCACTCAGAAAAGCCGAACGTTGCCAGAAAAACAACAAACAAAACCAAAAGAAAACATCACAGGGTATTTCCTTAGGGGCGGAGAAGGAGCGTGACTCCAACATGGCTTTCCTCTTACAACTCGAGTACCTGGGAGTCCGCAGTCAGGGAAGCTTCGCTCTGAACCCACAGCGAAACTCATTCCGAGCGAATCCCACCAGGGCTGCGCACCCCCAGCCCCGAGCCCGGCCTTAACAAAGCCCAACGGGGTCCCCGCCCCCGCTTACATCAGCGCTTCCTGCTGCCGCCCCCAATCCCTTCCGCGAGAGCCCTGCGGCGCGGCCCGGAGCCGTTCGAGGCCTCACGGTGCGCCGTTCCAAGGCCTTAACCCGGCCAGGCCGCCGCGAGGCCTGCGCGCCCCACCCAGGCCCGGACCGCGGCCTACCTGCGGGAGGCGAAGCAGGATGCCGGCCGCCTGGATGAGCTCGCAGCCGGTGACGCGCAGCTCGGTCTCCGTGTCGGGGTCGAGGCCGCTACTCATGGACGGGGTGAAGCGCAGCGTGTGCTCGGGCAGCAGGCAGTTCTCCAGCGTGATCAGCACACCCGAGTACAGCCGGTCCCCGATCAGCACGGCCCCGGGGCCTGGAACCGGCGCGCCGCTCCCCGCTGCGGCGCCGCCCGCCGTAACGCCTACAGCGTGAGGCCCCGCGGGGCCGCCGCCCGTTACCGCTGCCACGGCCGCCGCGCTGCCTGACCCCGCCGCCATTTTGTGGTGCCGCCGCCTCGCCTGCCTGCGCTCTCCTTCTCCGCCGGGCGGCGCCTCGCCCTCAACGCTTCCCCCGCCCCTTTCTACTTCCGGCCACTTCCTATTGGCGGAACGCGACGAAGCGGTGGGCAGCGATTGGTTGAGCCGCCGCGACATCTGACGCTCTTTCGGGCAGCGTGACGCAGCTCTTGGGAATTTGAAGAGCCGAGTGGGCGGGACTTCCGGCTATGTGACTTCCGGCTACGGGGCTTCCGCCGTTAGCAGGGGCGCAGCAGCAGCAGGCGGACTTGTGCGCGTCCCGGTGCCAGCGGTTCTGTTGGGGCAGGGTTGTACGGTGTTGGGTTTTTTAGCTATTAAGTATTTTTTTCCCCCTATTACAATGCTAGTAGTCACTCAGATTCTTTTTCCAATTTAATAATTGGAAATTGTTAATAAAAAAGTATCTTTATTAAGTCTTTAACAGCAGGTATGTGCACGCTATAGACATCTTAACATCAGAACTCCTACAGGTGTCACCACTGACACCAAACTCCTGTTCTTAACACATCTCACGTGTAACAGAGGGGAAAATACAACTCACCCACGCGAACATCACGCCCTGCCCTTCCACCCTGCCACAATCATCACGGAGTTGTTCCACAGCTCTGACCTCAGCCTGCGAGCAGGTCTGCCCTGCACTACGAGTTCCTGCTCACGACGCCCATCCGCAGGTGCTGGATGTTAATAGTGGTGCACGATACGTGAAAATATCCCCTCTGGCTCCTTCCCGTCTCCCAGGGCGGCGAGGATACCTTCTTGTCTCCTCCTCTGGGCTAAGGCAGCGAGGGACTTGAATGTCTTTGGCTCATAAATGGCCAAATCAGCAATCATTTTCCTATTCAGCTCCACCTGGGTCTAAGTATAAGATGAATTGTTGGTTAAGTACTGTAATTTTTAGGAATAGCAACAACACTGCAATGCCTAGTAATTATCTGAGGTTTTAAGGCAAATTACCATTTTTTCCTACACTGTACAATTTTGGCACAACTAGAGAACTGTCAGACATGATTACTCAGTCATGGGTGTCTCCTTAAGCCACTAATTTCTGTCCTGACTTGCTCAAAAGTCTTTCCAATACACACTAAGAAGCAAAGAACAAATCTCTCACGTTCTAAACTGAAGAACTGCATGTTGGCTTCTTCTGAATCTTTTAACAGAGAACCTTAGAAAAATATCCTTCACTTAGAAGCAACGATGTCTACCAGAGTAAAAGGAAACTGAGAGAAACAGGATCAGGGCAGAGTTTAGTGCCACAAGCAAGCACAATTCTCATAAGCACAGCTCATTTCATTGCTAGGAAGGAGAACAGTGCTGGAAGAAGTTCAGTCTGACAGAGGGAGCTTTTCCACCCATGCTCTAAGCTGGTAGTGCCTGCTCAGGCTCCCATTTGGACATCCCCACTCTTTCTCTTCAAGGACTGGCAAGTAGCAGCTGCACACTGAGTTTCTTGCTGTTGCAGCAAGCAACCTTTTGATCTGTTTTGTCAAACTACATCTACATTACTCAAGAACCATCCTTACCTTAAACAGATTGCTTATGAAAGCTGAGTATTTCAAACCATGTTCAAGAGAAGCTGCTTCGATCCTAGTGATCCAGAGCTGAAAGTGTAAAAATTAACATATTGGGTGATAAAATATTATATAAATAAGCATTCTGTGATGTTGATCTGCTCACATCTAGTAAATTTTAACACATTCAGACCTTCATTTTTCTCAGTGCAACATACATCTCCATGAATGTGAGCTTTTTCAGATCACAGAGGGGTTACTACCTTAAATTCACAGCATTTTTCATGTTGGTAACACATTCTGAGAGACAATTCCCCCCAGAGAAAAGTGTCTCTATCAGTTCTGTGCTTTTCCTGTTACAATGTTTACAGATAACAGTTTGCTATTTACCGCTCTTAGGAACCTTTTCTTCTGTTTTCTGGCCTTCGTTGACTTCACAAAAGCTCTCGTAACATTTCGTACAGCCAACTTATAGCAGCGATTCTTCCTTCCACGAAAATGCTGAAATAAAAACAAGATGTTCTTGTTAACTTTAAAACTATTAAATCCTTCAGTAATGCTAATTGTCTGCACTTCAAACCCCTTCATAACAGGCTTTGCAAGACACAACCATCAGCTAAGCCTGCAGCTGGCATGTACTGCAAATATTCTTTCATCACTTTACAACTCGAAACTGAAAATTTGGTTCAGGATGAAACCTTTCAGTCCAGCAGGAGGGAGAGAAAAGCAGACATCACTTTAGGCTGTGGTTCCAGGTTGAGGGCAACTGGTGCTTTTGAACAACCTCTAAATCTTTATCATTCATCCCCATTCCTGAGCTACCCTCTCACTTTTGTCCGCAGGAATAGGACAAGACCCTCTGCTGGCACTGTCACTCCTGCATCATGACAGGTCATTGCCGTACGGTCAGTGGAATAACTGTCATCCCAAATAACTCACACTGCTGCTGCCGTCTCTTAATTGAACATTTCCCAGCTCCGTTCTGCAGCAAGCCTTACCTCTCGCCAGGATGCCAGCCTGCCCTTGGAAAAGGCTCTTCCCCAGCCGAAGCACAGCTATCAGAACTTCAGTTCAAACCCCCAAATCAGCCTTTGCAGGCTGCTTCTCCCGTACTGCTCACCCCTCTGGCACAGAACCCCCTGCCTCTCACGTGTGCTGAAGCAGCCCCAGGCCTCCAGCGCTATTCATACACCAGCGCCACGCAAAACGCTGATTCTTTTTTTTCAGCCGCCTCCAGGGATCCACGGGGACGAGCACCCGGGCCGTGCCGCACTCACCCGAGCATATTTGAGCACCTCCTGCACCCTCCAGAAGCGATCGGTCAGGCGGCTGCGCAGCCACAGCGGTACGCTCAGCACCACCATCTCCCCGCCGAGGGCACGGCAACGCCACACCGCCCCGGCTTCCGGGGCGGGCACTAAGGGGGAGGGCCCTGGTCCTTCCGCCTGCTGTGGATTCATCTAGGCCGCGTTTGTTCGGGCCGGGCTGGACCGCGCTGAACCGGGCTAGGCCTTGCCGGACCAAAGTAGGCCTCGCCTAACCGGGCTAGGCCGCACCAGTCCAAACTAGGCCGCACCGAACCAAAGTAGGCCTCGCCGAATCGGGCTAGGCCGCACCGGACCAAACTAGGCTGCACCAGACCAAACTAGGCCGCGCCAAATTGGGCTAGGCCGCACCGAACCAAAGTAGGCCTCGCCGAACCGGGCTAGGCCACACCAGACCAAACTAGGCTGCACCAGACCAGGCTAGGCAGAGCTAGGCTGTACTGGACCAAACTAGGCCGCAGCAGGCCCAGCTGCACTGTGTGTCCCAGTCCCTGCTGCCCCTCTGGGATAATGAGGACGTGGAGCTGTGTGGTGGTTCCCCTTCACTGCTGCTATGTCACCGTGCACATTTAATGATGGATTTTAGGGTTTCAGCCCCAGCTGGTTTTGATTTCACTGGGCATGTCTCTTGCATGGGCATTAAAAAGAATGATTCAGTTTGTGCTGAAGTGAGTTTAATAAATCTTAATTAAATGATCAAACCCAAAAACTCGCTGTCTATGTTTAATTTTGGGTTTGCATGTTTAGCAAGTTCTTTTAACCCATCCTTAGCACTGGAGTTAGTCATTCAGCCCAGCTGGAACAAGGCTTCCTGCATGCTGGGTTCCAATTACTGCCCAGACGTGGTGAATTACCATAAGGAGGGCAAGTAATGTAGAACTCGGTACTGGTGGTCCATCTTGCTGTGTTTTGTGCACCACAAATGGTGAAAAGTGAAAAATTGCAAACTGACAAACCACAAGATGGGGCTGTTGTGATGGACTGCAGAAAAGTTGCTTAGTAGTGAGGGTCTGCCCTTAGAGGTAGCTACTGACATTAGCACACCACTCTGAGCACTTCAAAGCAATGATGCTTCTGTTAGTAACTGCTCCCTAAGTTACACCAAGGCACCTTTCCCACCCTGTGGAACTCAAACACAAGACAGCAGAAGTGATTTGGGTTAGGATTTGAGTTGCCTGATACAGTGTTTGCTGTCTTTCCGTGGCATAAGTCTTGATCTGATTTTATTTCCTCTAGGGCTTGTTGCTGGCTATTTGTTTTTTTGCTTTTCATCCTCTGTGCGTGTCTTATCCTTTCTCCAGTTAGAGGGCTTAACTCAGACTTGAAAAATACTAGATATTTGAACCAGGAGCTGCTGGCAGCCATTCTCTATGCTGTGACTCTTCAGGAGCCTCCATGCCATTTGTCATATTTATTACATCCGATGCCATCTGTTTTCCTGCACAGATTCAGGGCTTTATTACCACCATGGCTGGCCTGTGCAATAACTGAATGCAGGATGTATGCCGTAGTTATTTCCCTGTGGACGTCTGGGTAGGTCTGTGCAGACATTTCACATTTTGCAGCTTGAGGGAAAGCTATTGGCTTCCGTTCTCCCCTAGGAGCCATTCAGCCTGAGAGAGTGGTGAGGAAATGGGTAGAACAAGATGAAAATGGGCTTTTCATACAATCTGACTGTTTTAAAGGTCATTCCTCCCTATATTTTTTCATCTCTTTCTCTCTCTTTCTCTCATACATGAATTCATTAGTAGAAAGGAGATAGGCTCATTTGTGGTCGTTGAAAAATGTTGACTCATGGGTCCGAAAAGACACAGAACACATGCAGGCTCTGTTCTCAGCCTTGCCACTGGCCTGCTAGCTGATAGAGCAAACAACTTCCCTTGTCACATGTGTGAAAGGAAGGGTACTCATACTGCTCTTTGAATATCACATCTGAAATTGCACTGGACAAAACCTGAATGCTTGTACTAGGTATTATTCCAAGCCCATGGTAGCACTCTTGCTTCAGATCTTTTGTCCCTCTCGATCTTAAATTATTCATTGCTACCGTGAGCCTTTTGAAGAATGTGAACAATGAATTCTCTGTTTATGAAATGTCTTCGCTGTGCCCTACACCGTACATGCTAAGCAGATTTGCAACCCTTGTGTTTTTCCAATCTGATTTAGAAATCCTCTCGTGGCACAGCTGGGAAATCATTCCAGGATGCACTCGAAGAGAAGTTTCCCTAGCAGTCACTTAGAAGGTTTTCACAGTTTGTTCTCTTCCTCCCAGGAAAGTGGCTGTCCAAACAGAGGTGCTCCTGGGCTTTGCAGTTCTGTTAAAATAGAAATCGATCTGTCAGCTGAAGTGCTTTTGAAATCGATTTAATGTTTTTTATGACATCGCACAGTTTTCAAAAATATTTCAGTGCCTGACATTCAGAAATGAAAAGGACCATTTTCAGGTTTGACAGACAGTTTTCTTTTTTTTTTTTTTTTACTTACAATTCAGAACCTGGGTAAGTTAGTTTATAATCAGCTTAGATAAGGAACAAATCAGGCTGCAGGCTGATGGCAGAGCCTATTTTTAACATTCCCCTCCTCACCTGGCACATCAGCTTTAATTTTTTCTTCGCTGTGAGAGCTCAACAGATGGAATAAATAACAACAAACAAAACAGATGTCACCTTCAGCACTACGGCTAAGCAAATAAAATGACTCAAGAAGAATCTAGCTGAAGTCATTCCTGGTAAGGAGCAGCACAGCTGCCCAGTGCTTCGTGTGGAGAGTGGGTTTCCCAAGTGATGCTAAGTCCTCCCCTATTGCTGCCTCCAGGTGAAGGGTTTTTCCCTGCAGTTAGGAAACACCAAGCATGGAACGCAGCCAGTTGGAATGTACCAGGGGAATGGCCAGCATTCAACCCTTTGGGTGAAACAGGCATGGTACAGAGCACAAGAAGCAAAGTGAGTTCCCTTGCTGTGTCTGGCCACTGTGTCCGTGGGAGATCTGGAAGGCAGTCCAGAGAAAACACACTTTGTGGAAGGAATGAGGAGAAGCACATGGCTGGAGAATGCCCTGGAAGCAGAGTGTGTCCCTTCCGGAACAGATGGGACTAGCTTGCGTGCAGAAATGTGCCTGCTGTTGTTTGTTCCCTGCTGTATTGCAGGAATAAATGACTCTTGTGCCACTTCATAAATAAACAGGATTATACTGGAGATAGTGGCTCCCTTTTTCATTTCCTCCTTTCCAAAACATCATAAGGAAGCTAGGATTTTGCATAATTAATAAACCTTTCAGCAATTAGGCCTGAAAAGAACCTTTGTATCTCAAAGCAGGACAGTGAGAGATGTGCAGCTGAAGATTCATCCAGGACCTGAGGAACCAAATCTGTGCTCATGGAAGTGAGACACAGGCTGTGACCCTCAGGCTGATTTCTCAATTTCGCCTTGCCTTGCTGTTCTTCAGGGTGTGCCAATGGTAAGGACAGAACAAGGTGTTCTTTGGCTGTGAGGGTTTGTGCTCTTAGTATGGATGCTGCACCTTACTTGTGAGCTGCGCTCAAGTGCAGACTGGTTAGGGGAATTTTTATCACTAGATGTTCATGAGGTGAAGCTCCTGAGACTTCTGAATGCTGGATAGGTTTAACAAGAAGAGCCGTAGAAAAATAATGAAGTGGTAAGAGAATCAACTAGTAATTGTAATAGCTAGGAGAACTGCATAACAAATGTGGATGGTGCCGAGCTGTTTTTAAAACTCCTTACTTGTTTCATAAGGCTTCATTCTTGCTGGTATTTGAAATCAATACCAATTTTCTCACACCTCTCTTCAATCCACTTGAGTCTTCAAGCCTACACTTCAGCACTGATTACGTGTGGCAGACTGCAAATGGTCTCAGGATGTCTCACTTTGTACAAACAGTATTTGACAGTCCTGAGCCTGAGGGAAGGTACTGGGAGAACTGGGAGGCTTCCTGAACGAGCCTTCCTTCAATTCAAACACCACAAACACAGCTTGAGCAGTCTCTCAGCCCTTTCCTAGAGCAGAATTTCTCTAGGAAGTAGCACCAAATGGAAGACAGGACTCCTGGATTGCTTTCCTGCTGTGCTGAGCTCTGCCTTCTGGTAAGACCTGTGCACCTCCTGGAAGAAAGTTTTCTTCCTTCTGCACAAGTGAATTCATCTGAAAGGTGACATAAATGCAGAGATAGCAGTGATTTCTTAAATAACATTCATCAAATCAGGAAGGTAGAATAAGTGATCATTACTCTGCCTTCAGCTCAAGAGTACATCAGTGTGCTCTGCAGACAATAACAGTGGCGAGCGCAGAGAACAGAAGGTTTCTAAGCTATATAGTGATTATTATCAATTACTATAAGGCATTTTAATCTAGAGAGAAAACGTAGAAAATGGATCACGGGCAGAATAATAATTTCAGTTTGAAAGAGACCATCTTGCCCTGGGAATGTATGGTTTGAGTGTGGCTCCTGGGTGCTGTGTGCTAAATCACTTGTGAGGCAGATGTAAGTGATTGGCTGGCACAGAAAGCAGCTTCAGAAGCCACACTGTAAACAGAGCAGTGCTGCGAGGCTCCGAGGAAGGCACTGCGTGCATTGGAGCACTGTGACAGCGGGGAGCAGAGAGCACTGAGACCACACACTGCTCCCATCTCTGCTTCCATCTCAGCCTGCTGTGGGCAAGGACTCCATCAAGGCAGAGGGGAGGGCAGCTCTGCTTCGTTATCATCCCCGGGCACTTTGTTTGGATGAGAGTTGAGAAGGAATATTTCCATGGGTACGGGATGAGAAGCACGGAAAGGTGATTTAAAGTCGACGACCTGTCTGGAGGTGCTGGTGTTGCTGGCAAACAGCAGTGCTAAGAGTTGGAGGAGGAAAATGAAGCCAGGTGCCCTCCTGAACCGAGCTACCTATCAAAGCTGAGAGCAACTGGTGGGGACCTCTTGGAGTCGGACTCCTGGAAAGAACAACGGGAATTCAGGGGTGCCATGGATTCAGAAGCAGAACTATAGCTGTTGCCAAGCTGCCTTAAAACTGAGATCAGGACACTACTGGAAAACAACCTAAGAAGGAACAATTTGTCCTGGGAAAGCAGGTGGCCAAAAGATCATTCCTTCCTTGCTCCATTACGCTCTCTGGCTGTGTTCTTGTCCATATGTGCAAGGGCTAGGAAAAGCCTAGGCAGATCTGTGGCCAGAACAAAAGAAACCACTTTGAAAAAGGTTTGGGTTTGATCAGCAGCATTCTTGCAACATGGCTGACCAGGAGACCGAGGACTTAGCAGCAGAAAGCCTCTTGGCCAAGTCTAAGATGCATCCCAGTCTCCCACCGTATGACATGGATGACCAGCTCCTTCCCCGGGAGCCACGGAGCACCTGCGGCTGCTGGGCATGGGCTCTGCTGATAGCCACCATGAACCTCTTAGTCTTTTTCATCAACTTGCTCCTGATGCTTGTTATCTTCACCATCGTGTTGCTTCCCACCATTGTGGTCGTTTACTTTGGCTTCCAGTGCCACTCTCGGGTAAGTAAGTTTGCTCCATTTGGAATGGAAGTTTGAGTAGGGAAAACTAAAGGGCAAAAGAGCTCTGGTGGTGTTTGCTACTTTCTGTTTAAGTAACCTTTCCACAGTGATTGACATATTTGATCTTCCTAAAAAATAATTCAGCATTAATAAAGCCTAGCAGTGTCTGTAATCCCTCTTATGCCTGTGTACAGATTCAGATGTTTCTGTACAGTTTCTCACTTGTAACCAGTATATTTGCTTGGTCAGGAAGGGCTCTGGCTGTGCCTGCTCCATGTTGTTGCTATCCTCTGAATTTCATTATTCCAAGAATACCTATGAATTTCCTCTTATGTTTCCATAAATATGGTTGGAATCTGTTGATTAAGTGGATGGCAAGAAACAGTTTCACCAGCAGTAGCTCTTAGAGCAGCTCCATCTGGTTTCTCTTGCAGGTTACCCAGTGTTAGGAGGGTTCTCTTCCTGCTTTGGGGAGGGAAAAAACAAACCCTGCAATACTTCCTCCCAGGAGGGAGAACAGGCTCCAAAAATAGATGCTGTTGGCCACCCCATTCCACAAAATTGGAACAAAAGGAAGACTTTGAATCTTCTCAAAATTATATATTTACCTGAGAAATATAAAAGGAGAAGTGTTTTTTTTTTTTCCCCACCCTTCTTAATGAAATCTGTGCATCCCATCTAGTCAGCCAAATCCTTGGGACCTCTGAGTGAGCAGATCCTGGAGTGAGAGGTAATGTTTCAGCACACAGACCCTTGGTCTTCGCAAAGAGACAATTGGGATCACTGGCCTTTTGGAAGACCCCAAACTACCCGTTGTACACGCAGGGCTCTGCTTGATGGCTTTGGGCTCTGAGGAGCAGCAAAAGGTTTTTGAGTAAAGCAGAGTACATCAGTCCTGAAAGCAAGTGCTGTTAGCTGCAAGGAGTCTTTTAACTCAGACTCATCTTTTAATAGAGGTAGATGGGGAATGCTGCAGGATGGCTTGACAAGAGCAGCCCTTTGTCCTCAGGCTATTGCTGTTCTCTGCCTTCCTCGTAGCCAGAGGCTGATTTCTGCACTGCAGAGCCATTAGATGGATTTATTTATTTTTTTTGAATGTGATTGTGCTGCTTCTACTGCAGAAAGCATATAGAGAAAAGGAAGGAGGCTGGGGGGGTGAGGGGGGGGGGGGTGAGGGCTGCCCATGTCATTTGTTAGCACAGAACCAGTGACTGGCTTGGCCTCATGCTGCTGCTGCCACAGCAGGAAAGCAGGGCTGTAAGCCCCCGAACCAGCACTGTGCTGAGTGCCCAACAGCAGCACGAGGTGAGCAGGACCTCTCAGCAGGTGTTGAAGTGCTGAGAGATCCAAATATGTACACGGTGGTGTGTAGAAGATGGAGCACAGAGTAGGCTTGGGAATCTGCAGCCCACCAATCTGTCTGCAGGACCCAACATTTCTGCTGCATTTGATTTACTTAGCTGTAATTACCAGCATGTTGTGCCACCCACGTCGGTGCAGCAGCGGGAGGCCTTTTTGTTTGGTTCCCAGATAACAAATGCTAAGGCGTGCTATTATGGATAACTTAATAAAGATGGTTTCCTGCTTCAGGAGCAGTGTGGCACTCTTGTCTCACGGCGATGCCCAAGTAATTGAAAGCCTGATTAAAGTGTTGTCAGTCATATCATGTCGCTTGAGGACTGCAGAGGGAAGAGCAGCCGTGCCTCATTGGGAAGGCACTGAAACCCAGGGCTGCTTTGGTCCCTGCCCCTATCCACCAGCTGCTCTGTGACAAACTCCCTGTGTTCCCACAGGTGCTGCACTCCACTGCCCGCTACTGCAGAACCATCCTGGATGACAACAGCTCCTCGGCCCTCATCATCCTGGGCTTCGTCATCATGTCGCCCCTCATCGTGGTGGCCATGGCCACCTACTGCAGCCTGGCCAGGCGCCTTCGCCTCCTCATGTGCTTCCAGCCGTGCAGCCGGGCCCTGTACAAGGGCGTGAAGTGGCGCTGGTATGAGGAGGGCGGTCTGTGCGGCTGTGCCAGGGGCTGCAGCCCCCATGTCAAGGCCTGGGTCTGAGCCAGAGGCCCCATCCCACCCAGCGTGCCCTTCTCCCTATCCTCACCCTCCCCGCTGCCTCCCAGCATCACCCTGAGACCTCTGCGGAGCAGTGCTCATTGTAAGCAAGAGAAGTGTCATGAGCCACCTCCTATAGCTTTGTCTATATCATAGTAGATTGCTGCTCACCACCAGGGAGGGATTGTCAGTGCAGCTCCTTGATGTTAAAAACAACATGCAGCAGAATTCCTCCAGGACCTGCTGTGCTCATGGCAGCTCTATTTCCAGTCTTGACAGCATGGTCACAGAGGTCTCCTTGGGTTTGGCTGCTGCTGGGAAAGCATCCAGCCATAAGGAAGCAGCTGGGGTTTCTCAGTGCTGGGCAGTCCCAACCTCTGTAGGTCATTGCTTCTGCAGTGCTAGAGATCTGCAGAGTTCCTACGCACCAGATGTTCTTCCCCAGTTAACAACCCCTCTTTCCCATAGCCTATAGCAGTGCTATGCTTGTTTTCCTGTCCCCGAGCCAGGTTGTTGGGCTGGCTGCAGATATACGCAGTTCTTTGGGTCTGTCCCCCTCCAGCTGCTGATCTGAAGTGTGCTTGTCTGGTGATAGCTGGTGGGTATTAACCTGCAAATCATTCTTTGTCCTTCGCTGTGGTTTTTGTTCAGCTCCGTTTTAAGGCTCCTCGCAGGACGAGCTGGAGATCTCCAGTGGCCTCAGAGTCACTGCAGGCTCTTCCAGGGCTGGGTAAGAGATTTCAGAGACAGTGCCTTGTTCTGAGACACCTGGATGTAGCATTAGTGCTGCACAATCTGAAGAGTGGATGTGAGAAGGTATGGCAGCTGGGTGTAAGCGTGTGATGCTCCAGGTGGTCCTGCTGGAGTAGGTTTGGACCAGATGATCTCCAGAGGTCATCCCCAGCTGTGTTGTGATGTTTTCCTTTAAGCCCTGATGGTTTCAGGCACGGCATCAGTGGGGCTGTGTGCTGCTGACTGCTGCAAGCTCCGTGCTCCCCCCGCTGCTCTTCCTATCTGCCAACTATTGCCATTGCTATGTCTGAATAAAGATCATGCTGAATCTCCACTGGAGGAGTTTCTGTTCTGTCTCATAGTACAGGCTGCACCGGAATCAGCTGGCTGCAGCCCATTGCAAACTCTCGTTCTATCCTCAAATAATCAGTGATGGCTACAGAAGAAAGTGGATTGGATTGTAGCACAGGCTGGTACCCAGCCCAGCCACCAAACAGATGGGGACAGGGAAAGCTGGATGTGAATCAAAGCAGGAGCTTTGAGCAGTTAGAGCCATTGGTTGGGGCTTTGGCCATTGTGTTGTTTTGCGATGGTAAGAGGCTGAACTCTGGACTCCAGCAGAGCTCTGTGCTGTTGGCCAGCAGTGTAATATATCAGCTTTGCTGGCTCCCTCCGAATGTACAACTGAGTGTTCTGCCAGCCCTTGTCACCATTTAGCCCATTCTGGCAGCTGAAGCAAACCAGTCCCAGCTAAATCACTTTCACAGTGCTTCAGGTGAAACTGGTCCGATATGTCTCATTTACAGTTCAAATTACTGCTGAATGCTTCTGTGCACTGAGTGAACAAGACTGTTCCAGCCCATAGCCTGAATGGTTGGAGGAACACAGATTTTTGCATTTTAAGGCTTTTTCTATTGTTACAGGACTCTGCAGGGTGGGAGCACAGACTAAACTGTCTTGCTTTTTTCCTGGTCTGACTTGCAACCTGAAATCACTTCCCAAGGTGCAGAACCTGACCAGTAATTCTGTTGGAAGTCCCCTTACACAGCTCCATATGGTTGGTAGGGCATCTTGCAGAATATCATACAGTGTCTATGCATCAGAGAACTCCCTGGACTATAAAGGAAGAAAAACCTGTGTTCTGTTTTCAGCTGGAGCCACTTCTCTGCATCACAGCAGATTTTGGGGTAAGCTCTACCTCAGGGATGCCCTGGTGCAGCAAAGCATGACTACAGCACAGCAGTGAGACTGCAGCCCTGAGATCTCTGTCCTTAGAACAGAGGCACCCTTGATGTCTTCTGCCTTGGGGCAGCTGTGCCAGCTGGGGACTGCGCCTGCAGATGCTGCAGGAGGCTGCTGTGTGTGCTGTGCATGTGCTCCTCAAACCCTCACATGGGCTTTGTTCCGGAGTTCAGCACAGCTGAGCCTGGCATCCTTCTGGAGAGGAAGGCAATTTTCTTGTTTTCTTTAAAATCAAGCCTCTGGTCTGATAAGAGGCTATACAAGGGTTTTGAGCCAGGAGTATTCATTTTCCCAGTGCTCATTTCCAAGATTAAAAAAAAAATACTCAGAAAGAGCTGAAGGTACCGACAGTGAGTACCAAGCAGGCAGCTTACCTTGATCTGGATGTATCCCCAGCATGAATCACAGGAGACAGCTGCTTCGTGCCGGATTTATGGCAGGTAGCTATGAGCACAGTATAACTGTGAGTTCTCATCCTGTGAAGGTGAAAAGAGAAAACATTAATAACCCAACTCGTGCTGAAACGGGGCTGATATTTCAGAGATGCTGCTGTGCATCACCTGGTCCAGCTCTGCTCCTTGATGCCTTTGTGGAACAGCTTTTCCCTTTCCCTGCAGGTGTGCATTGGTGCTTGCAGCTGGCTATGGGAGAAAAGCAGCAAAGGAGGCCAAGGGATGAACAGCAGAACCTGGGTTTCTGGCTGTGCTGCAAGAGAGGTGTCCACTTTGTGCCTGTAGGGTTTTGGGGTGAGGATGAGAATGGTGTGAGGATTGTGGCTCAGCAATGCTGAGGTTTCTGGAATGCTCCGTCTAAGGGGAATTTGGGCATCTTTGGCTTGGGTTCCCTACTCCCAAGTTTGTTTGGAAGTGGGAATGTAGTCCTGTTGCTGTTGCAACGGGTGCTTTGGGGGGTGTTTGTGGATTGCAACGCGGAAAGCAGGCAAACAGCAAAACCATGATTTGATTGCTAACAGAAGGGACAGAAAAATAAAATCCAAAGGAATGGAGCCATCACAGCAAGGGAGCTCATTCTTCACAAATGTAACAACACACCAAGGGTGCTTGCAGGCTGCCGACTGTTCTGTACCAAATTACTGGTGGGATCCATACTGACAGATGGATGAACCAGGGAGAGATGAGGGAAGCTCCTTTTTGTGGAAGTTTCCCCTTGTGCTGCTCTGGTCCATACAGCCCCACAGTGCTGGGCGGATCCTCTCACCCCTCTGTTCTGCATCCTAAGCCATCCTGCTGTGCGTGAGCACTTATAGAAGCTTCATGTACAAATTACATGTGGATTTAATATGACAGAAGTGAATGCTAACAGCTTCCACAAGTGGCAGGAGGAAGAGCTGCTGCTGTCATGCAGGTCCTTATGTCCCATTCTCTGATTTATCCAGAGCGTAAGGGTCGGGGATGAATAAGCTCAAAGGCCTCCTGAAATAAAGAACAAATCCCAATCACACAAGCATGGCTCTGGTCACTGAGAACCAGATCCAATGGGAATTGCTGGCACTGGTACCCAGCAGGGCTCAGCTGCTCCTGGCAGAGCCACAGTGCATTGCCAAGAGCTCAGGGCATCACTCTCAGTGTCACCTCTGCCAGATGGACTCCATGTGCCTCATCGTTTGGGAGCTGCTGTTCACATGGAACCCTGCTCCACTTCGGAACGGCGCTCGCCTATTGCTTAGGACAGACTGACCCATGTTCAACTGCTGCACTAAATCCATTAATTCTGTTGCTGTGCATGGCCAGGCCATTACATGTAAATGAGTCTGGGCAGGCAGCACCCCTGCTGGTCAGTCCTGCACTTTTTTTGTTTTCTGGGCTATGACAGGACAGACTTCTAGTGGATCAGTCAGAATTGGATATTCAAGATCTAATTGGGAGTTTTTATTCTCCTGATCAACAGAGTCGGTTGATTCAGGAGTCTGGTCATTGTTTATTGTAAGGTTACAAACTTGGCCTACGGGAAGATGTAGAATTGGCTTATTTCCTGTTAATACACCAAGTTCATGCTCCAGTTTTTCAATACAGTCTTTTAAAAGTTGATTTTCACTTTCTCAAGTATTATTTCTTATATCCGCATGATTTAAGGCACTTAATAGTGGCCATGCCACCATGGAGGCAGCCAGTTGTCTTTCTTCAGTGATGAGCACATCCTCGCCAAGTCCTTGAAAGTAATCTGCCATGTGACATGGGGAGATATTGCCCATAACATGTAAGGGACCCCATTTTTCAATGATAACTGCTAACTCATAATAAGGGGATCCCACAAGATCTGCCCTGGAATCATTTTCTCTAGAGGAGTATTGTTCTTCCCCTTGACCCATTTATAGACATTCCAAAGAAAAGACATGATGTAAATTTTAGTATATTTGGCCTGCCTGGCTCGCCAAGTGTATAATCAATGGATATTAAGATGTATAATCAATAGACGTTAAGATGTTATAATCACAAAAAAGAACAAGAGAGTTAGGCAAAGCAGACTAATGTAACAAGAGAGAATAAATGGAGGGCTTACCCATACACTAGGCTCACCCACAAAAAAACACCAGCAGAGCAGATCTCCAGATGAGATCCTTCCCCACTGGTAGCCAGCTCTTAAATAGGTCTAGGACAGGTGAATTGCATTCACCTGTGCTCCTCTGGCTGACCCACAGCTCACCTCAGGTGATCAATCAGAGCTTCAGGCCGTGATGCAGCAGTTCCCATACACTCATTCTCCTGATCTCCTGAGATCTCTGTAGGTTAACTTGTTAGGGATCTGCATGGTAATACAATTCCACTCAGATATATGCTGGATAGCTTCTTTTGCTCTCTTTATTTGTATTTCTGACTGCTTAATGGTAACTTGAGCGTCTTCAGGGAAATGTCCATTGTCCTCCTGCAATGCCCTCCGCTGTCTTGGAGCTAACTGGTCACCAGTGATGATTTCCAGCTTGGGAAAACTCTGAATGAATGGAAACAATTAAGGAGCAAATAAGCAGTGGGTGCCTGCCAAAGGTTTGCACCCAGCAAGCTGATTCTGCAGCACAGGTCACGCTGCACCCTTATGCTGGGGAAGGTCCCTGATGGAAGATGCTGTGCAGGTAAGGAAGCAAGCAGTGATGTAACCCAGCTGTCCCAGCACCAGAGTGCCCTGCAAAGCAGTCCTTTACGTGTCAGTGAGCAGTGGGAGGCAGCTGGGAAGCTGTGTGTGTTTAAATGAGCCTCTGGGCACGCAGAGCTGCTAAAACACAGCAGAGCTCTGAGGCCATCTGTCAGGCACGCGTTGCTGAAGGGCTCTTTGTGGAAGAGCTGCAGAAGAATATGAAAATAAATAAATTACGTAGCCCTCAGAATCAATAGTAGCACAGAATGGCTGGAAGGGTGAGCGTGGCAGATGCTGCTAACTACTTCACAGTCCTCTTTGAGAGCTAGAGACTGCTGTCCAGAAAAACCTCTCAATCACTCAGAGGTCTGCAGGGGAAAAAGCACCAACTAAAAGAGAAGTGGAGAGCAGCACTGTTTCAGGGCTGGGGAGCAAGATTTCACTGTACAGCTTGCAGTCCTGACAAAGAGGGGGACCTGGGCATCACCAACACAAGTCTTTCTGAGAAGCAAAGCTTTGCTTTGGGGGAACTGACACCAGCAAATATTGCCCCATGTAACTCAGTGTTGCTGTTTTTCTGCTTGAGGAATAAAAGCCAAGCTCCCCAAACCCTAACCCTATGCATGGAGACAAGGGATTATGCACAAACCATGACAAGCCCAGAGCATTTAGCACAGCTGGGTAAGGTCAGCATTTGTGTTTTCTTCTCCCCCCATGCCTTGTCCTCCCCCCAGCTCAGGCAGCCAGAAACAACGCAGTCTTGTTCTGCAGCTCCCCAGGCAGTGCCAGGGGGAGCTTTGTAAAGGATTCTGCAGGAAAGCAGGAAAACTGGAGCTTGGGGATGTGTCTGTTGGGTTTGCTGCACCCAAAGCACATGGAAGGTAATGCAGATGGACTTGGTGATGCTCTGCATCCTGACTGTGAGCCTGCAAAGTTCTCACATGGCCTCAGTCCAAGCCTGGGCTCAGCATGCCACCAGGGCTCTGACCCTAAAAGTGCTTGCTGAGCTCATTCCCTGCATTCTCCAGCCTTCAGGAGCTGCAGGAGGTGCCCAGCTATGCAGCAAGCCATGCACAGGTGCTGCCTCTGTGACCCCATAACAGCAGAAGTGGTGCTGAGCACAGGTTATTCCTCCTTCTCACCTGGAAGCACAGATCTGCTCCAGCTCATCCTCATCAGTACGTTTAATATTCCAACAATGCGCTAAAATTGCCCTTTTGTCATCACATTTTTATCTGTGTGGCACCAAGCAGGCAGCTACGTATGTTAGAGCCTCTGGGGAGTGTTGCAATCCCACCAACATGTTAGTGACTGCTCTGCCCATCTGCACGGGCTGGCAGCTGCAGGGATTGTCGGTGCCAATAGATACCCAGATAACAGCTCCCCCAGCACCCCCCGTGTCTGTCTCCAGTGGCTGTAAAGGTGTGAGAACTTGCCCTGGGAGGATGCTAGTAGATAAGACACAGTGAAAACCGCAAGGAGACGGGGCTGGCAAAGCTAGGGGCTGAAGGAGCGGGTGGGAAGGGAGACCTGTGTTTGCAGGATGAAGCATGTGGACACAATTGGCTGCAGTGTGTGTCCCTGTGCTTGCGGAGGGATGCTCAGCAAAGCACTGGGAAGCACCACTGGGTCACACCAGAGAGCCCGATGTGCTTTGCCCCCTTGGACGGAGCAGGCAGGATGTGAAGGGCTGGACTTGCTTTTCAATGGCTTACATAAACCACAAGGAGAGATAAGAAGCAAAGAATAATTAAAAAAAAAAACAACACATAAAGAGGCAGGCTGGGAAGCAGGAAGAGGTAGCACTGTCTGGTTCATCGCTCTGCTTTCAGCAGCCGCCAGTTTCGATCGTGCCTGTACTCCTTGTCTCCCAAGCACGCAGTTGAGAGCTGAGGAAACCAAGCCCTGACCCCTATCCAGATGAGCAGGGGTAAAAATAGCAGTCAGGGGAGCAGATTTCCTCCCAGACACAAACCTCTTGCTGCTGAAGGCCACAAATCTGTGCTGCGTTCCGGCTGCTCACGCACCCAGGCTGCTTTGGCACAAGATGGGAGGAGGGCTGGGGTCTGCCTGCCTTATGGGGACAGATGAAGAGCCTCCTCTGATGGCTGATCCACCTGCCTCCTTTGCTGCTCTGACTTTCTGCTACCTTGCATCTTTTAATTTGTTCAGCTTTAATGGCCTTTTGGTTTCTATTTTCTCTGTAGTTACCTTGGCCCCATGCTGGCTTCCAGCCCTTCCGTGCAGAAACCTCTTTTCAGCCCTCTGGATCCCTTTCCATCGCCTTTCTGGCTCGCCCCCAAAGCTCTGTCTGCTGCCACTGAGAAGTAAACAATCCTTCCACTCGCAGCACCTTATCTCCTGTGTGAGCGTTCTTATCTCCTGC